AGCCCAAGAGTTTGAGGTTGCTGTGAGGTATGATGGCATAGAACTCTACTCAAAGTTACAGAGTGAGACTCTGTTTCAAAAGCAAACAAACAAACAAAAAAACCAATAAAAAATGGATAAACCTTTTATGGTAAGCTAAATAAGCCCTTCATAAAAGAGCATATATAGTATGATTCCACTTATGTGCAGTATATATAATAGACAAACTGACAAAGACAGAAAGTAGAATAGGCTGGTTGGGAGTAGGAAATGGCAAAATATTGTTTCATGGGTACAAATTTTCAGTGGGGAAGATGAAGAAATTCTTGAGATGGATGGTGATGATAGATGTGAATGTACTTAATACCACTGACCATACACTTAAAGATGTTTAACATGGTAAATTACATTATGCATCAAAGATCTGACAATTAAATTCCTAAACTTGCCACCGTGCACGTACACTGGCAGCACTGTACAAACAACTTGGTAAGGTTTCATAACCTTGGTATATCAGTGTCTCACAGCTGTATTCCTGTCAATGTGTAGCAGTGTCTTGGTGTTCATTCTTGTGTATTTTTTGTGTGCTGTCATGAGACTATCAGAGCACAAACAAACATTACATTTCTTGTTAAACTTGGCAAGAATGAAGTGAAATTAGGGATATGTTAGTCCAAGTTTATCCATAAAGAACATGGCAGTATACAAATAGATTAAATGTTTTTCTGAGGGGAAAGAAAGTGTCAGTGATGCAGAGAGGTCAGATAGGCCAGAAAAGAACAGAACTGACAAAAACATTGCAAAGTTCATTGAATTATGTGCCAAAATTGCTGGCTGATTGTGAGAAGCATAGCAGACCAAGTAAACATGATAGACAAATAGGAAAATCTTAATTGAAAAACTTGGCATGAGGCTGGCTGCATTGACTTATGCCTGTAATCTCAGCACTCTGGGAGGCCGAGGCAGGTAACTGCTTGAGCTCAAGAGTTTGAGACTAGCTTGAGCAAAAGTGATATCCTGTTTCTATTAAAAAATAGAAAAAATATCTGGGCATTGTGGCAGGTGCCTATAGTCCCAGCTACTTGGGAGGCTGAGGTGAGAGGATCTGTTGAGCCCAAGAGTTTATGGTTGCTATGAGCTATGATGATGCTTGGTAGCACTCTACCTAGGGAAACAGAGTGAGACTCTGTTTTTAAGAAAAATAAAAAAGACAGAAAATCTTGGCATGAGGAAAGTGTGGCTCTTGTATCACAGCAATGTACCAGCTCACATGGTACTGTCTGCAAAGTAGTTTATAGCCAGTAAACAAATAACTGTATTAGAACACCCTCCCTACTTACTTGATCTTGTCCCCAGTGACTTTTTTCTTTACCCCCAAATAAAGGAAAGATTGAAAGGAAGACATTTTGATGACATTCAGGACATCCAGGGCAATATGCTGACAGCTCTGATGGCCATTCCAGAAAAAGAGTCCCAAAATTGTCCTGAAGGTAATTAGGCTCTGGCATTAGTGCATAGCTTCCCAAGGGGAGTACTTCAAAGGTGACTATAGTGATATTCAGCAATGAGACATGTAGCACTTTTTCTAGGACGAGTTCATGAACTTATCTGTTAGAGCTCCTACTTTACTATAAAAAAGCTTTTACTTACAAAAGTGATGCATGATAAAAAAATTTCAAGGAAAAAATAAAAGGTATAAAAATGAAAAGTAAAACTCTTCTTACCTCCCTTCCTCAGTTGCACAACCCAGAGATGATCATTCTAACCAGTTTTATAATCTGCTTACACTGCAATTGACAGGAGAATCTTCCAATTCCTCTTCCTTGTGATTTTGAGTGGCCATGAACCCTTGGGGACCTGAGGGTAACTTAAGAGTCTGGTTTGGCTTACACTGTTTTAGTGGTTGTTATTGGTGTTTTCATGTTCACAGTGCTGTGGCAGATACATCAGGTACGCTCTCAGCTGCAAATAATAGAAAACTGGAAATAAAACAGTTCAAATAGTAAGAAAATATATTATCTCACTGAAGATAGTCATGGATAGGGCAGGCACTAAACCAGAGCTGGTTATCAAAGACCAGCTTCTTTGTTTCTCTCTGCTCTGCTATTTTCAGCACTGGCTTCAGCATGAGGCCTACTACTTCTGGTTTTAAGAAGCTTGCCAGTAGCCATGGGGGCTACATTTTTTCCAGTTCTTATCTAACTCCTGCTCATATTTCATCAGCTGAAATTTAGTTCTGCCCATGGCTAGTAGCAGTAGCAAAAGGGAGAGGATTACCATGTTTGTCTTAGATAATCTGGCTAGAATGGATGTAGGAGGAATTAACCACAAAATGTATTATAGGCTGTCTCCCGGTTCAAAGGCACATTTTGGACAAGGCTATACAAGCAAATCTCCTCTCCCAGTGCCATACTTCCTAAGCTTCTCTAAGTTCTGCACACTCCACCTGCCCCATGATAACTCATATCCCATGACAGTTGGGTGTTGCTTAGGAGAGCCAGTCCCAAAGGCCCTTGTCCTCTTTGGTCTGGCCTTGGAAGCCTTGTCTTACCTGGCTCTTAAAAACTCTCAATATCTTGTGATATAGGACATCAAACCCCAGTGGATCTAGGCTTCATATCTGTTCTGTTCAAGCACTCTCCCTTGACCAACATCAACATTTCAGGCAAAAAACCAACATCACAAATATCTTACATGTCAACCAGGGTAAAGTTAAAGGGAAAATATACATTTTAATGAAAGTAAACACAGGTTATCATGTTGTTTAATATATAAGGAAATGTAGAGCAATTGAAAGCTATAAAAAGATCAGTACTGGAGAATAAAGGAGGAACAGCTCCGATCCCACACTTGACTGTTGGTGCAGCCATCCAACTGCCACATATTAAGGTTGTATCATATGGATCTTCTAAGATATTAAGTATATTTAACAAATTCAGACTATTCCTCTCTATTGGCCTCGTAGGGAAGAAGGCATACCATAAAGGGCAAGGCACCAGAATAAAATGACATGGATTTGAATCTGCCAATTCCCAGGTATATGGTTTTTTTTTCATTGTTGTCTTACTTTATTATTTTTTTTATTAAATCATATCTGTGTCCATTAATGCTATCATAGGGTACAGCGTGCTGTTGCTATATACAATTTGAAATACTTTCATCCAACTGGTTAACATAGCCTTCATGTCTTTTTCTTAGTTACTGTGTTAAGACATTTATATTCTACATTTAGAGAGAGTCACATGTACCCTTATAGGATAAACCATAGGTGTAATCCCATCAATCACCCTCCCAGGTATATGATTTTTAAAAACTTACTTTCAACCTCTTTAGGCCTCAGTTTCTTCCTATGTAAATTGGGATAATAATGTCTATGCCATACAAATGTTATGAGAATTAGAAACATTAATGTATGAATCCTTAGTATAGTGTCTACCACATAACAGGCTGTCAGGGTATGTTATCATCTATCTTATTAAATATGCTCATCTTAAAGATTCTAAAACTAAATAGTAGAGCCTCTGTAAGTTGCTCACCCAAGGGACTGTAACAAACTGGTCAACATATGGAGGTGGTCAACATAAGGAACTAGGCCTACTGTCCTGATATGTATATGTGGTGGATGTCTGGTTTATGAAAATTAGGTCATTTTAAGCAGGTGGTTAATGGAAGGAGGTGGTCACCTATGCAGATTCCACTATACTCCATTTACCTTGTGTCTTCCAATGAACTTCATATTTCTTCTTTCCTTCACAAACTCCTTATTTGCCTTTTTCTTACCTCCAGGCACTCCAACTCAGTGAAATATGGTTCCTCTCACCCATACTCAGCTTTCCTTAATATCACCAGCCATCACTTTGTTGCCATCTGATCACCATTTTTAGATCTTTTCAGCCTCCTTAAAATCCTTTTCTGGATTTCTCACATGGTAATCAATATTAGTTAGGATGTTTTTGGCAACAGGTAAAAGAAACCTTGATTCAAACTTGCTTAAACAATAAGACAGTATATCCCACAATAGTTAGCTCAAACAGAGGTCTGCTCCTATGGCCATTGACTTGGCCATTGAACCATCAAAGACTTAGGTTCTTTTTGTTCTTCTCTTTTGTCCATTCCTGTCTTGGACTATCACTTAAATATTGGTGATTGTCATAACTCTACCCTTGATTCTCTTCCACTCAGGCCATACTCTCTCCGTAGGCCATCCACTCTGTTTCTTTGATTTCTATCACTAATCTCATGATTTCTAATAAAGGCCTATCTCTATTCCAAATGTCTCTTCTCAACTCCAAACCACAAGTTTTAAAAAACAACTTAGCCCTGGCTCGGCACCCGTAGCACCGTGGTTACGGCGCCAGCTACATGCACAGAGGCTGGCGAGTTTGAACCCTGCCTGGGCCAGCTAAACAACAATGACAACTGCAACAACAAAAAAATAGCCAAGCATTGTGATGGGCGCCTATAGTCCCAGCTACTTGGGAGGCTGAGGCAGGAGAATTGCTTAAGCCCAAGAGTTGGAGGTTGCTATGAGTTGTGACGCCATGGCACTCTACTGAGGGCAACATAGTGAGACTCTGTCTCAAAATAAATACATAAATAAAATAAAAAATAAATTCAACATGAGCACCTGCAGTGGTGGTCATTTATTAGGTGACTAAAAGTATGAATTCTGGAACCATAATGACGAGGCTGTACAAATCAATTTTAAGTATGATACTGGGCAAACTACTCACCCTCTCTGTGTCTCAGTTTTTTATCTGTAGAATGAGGGTAATAATAGTACTGCCTTCATGAGATTGCTACATTAAATAGATTAATGTGTGTAGGGCAGCCTGAGCAGTACCTGGCACACAGAGCTACATAAGTGTTTCGATGATTCTTTTCCTCTCTGAGTAACTCACTAAGGCCTAAATATTAGGAAGGAGCTCAGGTAAGAATCTGAATAACTTAGAGGAACTCTGTACGAAATAAAGAACAGTGTGACCAAAATGCAGCTTTCTTCTTTATATCTGCATGGTTTACATTAATGAAAATACATGAAGCTTAAACCACGGCAGCAGCATTCACGACCCTTCTTCACACTCGTCAGAACTGTCATCCTCCTCGTCCTCACTGCTTTCTCCTTCGCTCTCCTCGCTACTGTCTTCTTCGCTCTCTTCATCATCTTTCTTAAGATTCTGAGCTTTCTCTGCCACAGAAAGGAAGAGTATTGCTTAAAATATTTCTTAATATTTCCACTCTGAAAAAAAGTCATAATTCTCCTTGTCCCTCCCTCTGCCAAGATGTAGGTATATATGGAATATGAGAACAGAGCTGAACTTTGGTAACTGTACATAGGATCACAGTGGTAGAGTAAGAAATATCTTCTTAATGGCATATTAGTGTTTGTTAGTTCAAGGTTAATTTAAAACACAGGTCTATAAAAATAATTTTTATTATTGTCATTGAAATTCTTAAATAGAGTTAAGAGGAAGTGAGACTTAGGGTAATTTAAAGGGCATTTAATGGCTTTCCTTGGAATTGTGGGATAACTCCTTTAACACAGGGGTTGGTCAGTATGTTCTGTTGGTCAGTATCTGATTCCTGGTACCCAGGGAGCCTGCTCTCTGTGGACAGTTCCAACCCACCCATAGAGGGAACAGAGTCATCTCAACCGTCCACAGAAGACAAGCTATTTCACTAAAACTTTTAAGACAGCCAATTGGCTTTTTCTTAACCACTGCCTAAAGGTACATTTTTGACAACCTCTTCAGATAACAAGTTTTTAAAAATGACTGTTTATGGTGCTATGAGAAAGAAGGAAGTTCAATTTTTAAAATTACCCATCTGCAACATTTCTTCAATAAGTGCAAAAAACTCCTTGGCCTCAGGATTTTCTGGTTCATAGATTAGAACTGAAAATGGACAACAGAATGTGTGTTATTAATGTTCAAAGTGTTTCAGCAAACACGTTCCTTTAAATAAGATGGGAACTGTCGATCAGAGCAAGTGAAAATGCACCAAGTGATAAACACTAACTTGCCCTAGGTCTATCTCAGTGGAAACAGAAAGTGTTCTACTTATATTCGGTATTTTAAATATAATCAATAAACAATTCTAATTATATTTTCTACCTCTTACACAAGGAATGCAATTCCAGCACCCCAGTATGGCCTTCCTCTTAGACCAACAGCCAAAGTGTTTGTGAATATAACCATTTTCTAAAGAAGGTACAAGTTCTGCAAAACGTGGAGACTTTGCTAATGAGAAGAATGTGTGCCTAGAGATCTGTTACTCCTTCCTCTAATCTTGTCCACCCAATGTCCATGTGATGTTCTTTACTACAGGTCTCATCTAAACACAAAGGAGGAACAGAAGT